TATATATTTATTTATTTATTTATTCTACAAATTGCGTTGTCAACTGTATTAATAGTATAAATCAATTTTGTGAAATATTCGCGTCTTGTTAAAAAATATAATATAATATACAAGGAAAACTTACTATAATATAATTCGCGCGCGTTTATACAAGTTCTAAGTCATCGACAAAATTCATTATAAATGATAAGTACAATTTGATTTCAAAAATGTTAAATATTTGACAAAATTTCCCACATAACAGTCGATGTTGCAGATGACTCGTTTAGTACTAGCGATATACCGACACTTGCCACCGTTAATCTTCGTCGTTTGTGGATACCATCGACAAGTCAGCATGTGAAACGAACGTGTATACGTCATGAGCTATTCGCGATCGCGCAACGAGACGCAGTGGCCGGATCTGCAATGGAAATTACGCGTATTTTGCATATTATCGCTCTCCATGCGCCGCCGACTTATTCATTAACGTGGAGAATGGCCCGCATTGAATACGCCGCTATACTGGTTATCAAATCTCGGAGAAAGCATGGCGAACGGCTACTCTTACTGGTACTCAAATGTATTCCGAAATACATATTGCTCCTAGCCTCATATATTGTTGCACAGTTTTACCCTAGCAAAATAAAATTGCAAAATTGATAAATATCAATGCAAAGAAGATTCAATTAATTAAATTATTATATTAATTGAATTCCAGTATTCTAGGAAAAATAAAAATAAGGAAAATGAAATAGAACTAAACACGAGGTAAAAAAAACAAAGTTTAAAGTATTAAATAAGAAATAATTAATAGAAAATCTATATTAAAAATCTTTACTTACTGAAATGAAAATTATCATTAAAAAAAAATTATTTTTAGAATTATTCATTGAATTTTATTTCATGAAATATTTGTATTGTCATATCTCACAAGAATATAGTTTTTGGTCACCTTTCTTCGTAAACATTTTTTATCGGTTTCATAATAGCATGTTGAATAAATATTCATAATTATTTTCATATATACGTTTTCGATATTCACCGACAAACATAGTAATTACTTTCTCCACTTATTTATCGCAGCTATTAAACGATCGTTAATTTTAATAAGATCCCCGATAAACAACATTAATTTAACGATCAAAAAACATCACCACGCGCGTCCGTCACAGTTACTCTGATCGATCCTATAATTTTGCACGCGCATAACTTCTGTACAACGGAATGGACATTGAAGACACTGATAATAGCCACTTCTCGTGGCTTTCAATTACTTAACTCATAAGGATGCATCCTCGTTGATAGGCATCGTGCCTACGCGTCTTTCTCTTTGCACGCGACGGACTTTCTCAATAAGAGAGCGCGATAATACAGCGAAATACGACAGCGACGACGAGGATAACCGTCGATCGAAAGTGGCCCCGTCCCGTCTCATCATAATCGGTCGGATCGTGATCGCAGTGACAGGAAATCGGTGAAACGACCTATCGAAGAAAGAAAAACGTTGTGCGATCGGTCGCCGGAAAAAATTTCGAGTTTTCTCCGCTAACTCGGTTGCACAATTTTCAGGAGCGCTCTTCTGGAACGAAGACACCGAGTTCGACAGAACACTCGTAACTCTTGCCGCGTATAATCGACCCCACGAGACCAGTGACAGGGAAAAGAATCGCAGAATCCACAATTTCTCAATAATATACCGTGTCTAGTAAACGCGTCACAGATCGACGGATGGCAGTTTAATCAAAATAACTACCAAGTATACCAAAAATCTAAAGAGTATCTAAAAGAGATTTAAAAGATACGTCAAGTATCTCTTAAATACAAAATGTCCATTAACTATAATTTAATACGTAATCTTTAATATTAGACGAAGGTCATCGATACCGACATACCACTTTGTTTTTAGACAATATTTCTTAAACAAAAGGTAAAAATACAACTTCAAAAACATAAATATAAAGTAAAAAGTCTTCTATCAGATAGTATATCTGCAAGATAGATAAAGCAATTTTTATAATACTGTTTGCGATTTTGCAATAATTAAGTTTTTCGTAAGTTATTCAAAAATGAGCGTCTGACAAAATGGACTCCAAAACTGACACAGTAGGCAGTAATACTACGTATTCCTATTCTTTTTCTTTTACAGGAATTATCTGTATAAAGTACCTATGAGTGAATGTATATAAGATTTTTCAGAATTATTTTACTTCGTTATAAAACATTTTTATTGAATTATATGCATATTTACTTTATGCTGTTCTGCAAGATGCAAATATGTAACGCGATAGTTTTTCTAGAGTTGTTTTGTACAAACATTAATTTTAGTTTTGTACAAAAATTAATTCAAGAACCTCTGTGTGTATAGGGTGTTACAGATACATATTAGGCAGTACGACGGGTTGCGCGGCAAACTTTGCCAAGCGTGGTTTAATAGACAATGACAGTGACTTTATATACATTATAAAGTTTATACTACAAAGTCTTATTATTTATATTATAAAGTTTATGCTATAAAGTCGCTGTCATTGTCTATAAAACCGCGTCTGCCCATGCAAAGTTTACCACGCAACCCGTCGTACTGCCATAAGAATTTTGTTTTCGCATTTGTAGAATTCGTTTTTAGCTAATTTGATATAGAAACGAGCCACAAACCTACGAATTATGAGTTTGTACTTCTTTAATTAGCTAAACAGATCATGATTTTATTAGTATTAATAAAGTGCAATAGTTAGTTTCCGAAAAATAAGGGGATGTCATTTTAGGAGACCTATGTCAGTATCCGCGACTTTCTTCTAATTCTTACAATTTTAAATATATTTCTATAATTCCTACAATATTAAATACATTACTATAATTCAAAACAATATTTATCAAGTTTGCACATATTTCTTAATCATAAATGTAAATAAACTACTAGAAACTGCGATGCATTCATAATACTTGAGTAATGTTCCAATAATCTTGTTGTTTAAAAACATAATTAGCATACATTTTGATTTCTCTTGCACGTAAAATCGCATTAAATGTCATTTTAGGAGACCTATGTCAGTATCCGCGACTTTCTTCTAATTCCTACAATTTTAAATATATTTCTGTAATTCCTACAATATTAAATACATTACTATAATTCAAAACAATATTTATCAAGTTTGCACATATTTCTTAATCATAAATGTAAATAAACTACTAGAAACTGCGATGCATTCATAATACTTGAGTAATGTTCCAATAATCTTGTTGTTTAAAAACATAATTAGCATACATTTTGATTTCTCTTGCACGTAAAATCGCATTAAGAAATGTTTACACAGTTTCATTTTTGCATCGGCGCGTAGACGAATGCAAACGATATATACTTTCTAAGAATACTTACGGTGATAGTAGGGTGGTCTGAAAGTGTGTTCTTGCACGGACCATCGGGGTGGAAAGATCACGAAGTCGGCTGCAGCGGTTCCAGGTTTGTTAGTGGGGCACGTCAGCACGGTGAAGATGGAAGGATCCTGCGGAATTAATTAAGCTACTTAACATTCCGAGAGTGATTATAACTGAATCCGAAAAATTATAAAAAATGGATATATAGAAGAATGAAAAAAAACATTATATACATTTACTTGTTAAAATATAAAATACATATATTAAAAAGGATTAAGAAAGAGGCAGAAACATAAATCATTAAAGATAATATTTAATCATCCACACAATCGAGTTACTTCCTTCGCGGGGAAAATTTAAAAAATTGTATTTTATATAAATAAAATTTCGTTGCAATTCGTAACAGTTTTATTTTTTAATCTCAATGCACAGTTATATTTCTGCATGTGATGATTTACTTACGCAGTGATCGAAGGAAACGGAATTGATAATCATGAATCTGTTAAGATCGTATTTATAAGGTACGTAGTTGCCATGCCACGCAATCACGTCAAAGGGGCTGTGACCTTGATTGGCCACGAATAGCTTTCCCTGATATTTACATATGATCTCGTAATCAATCTCACGATCCTCGTACCAAGCCACAGGAGTTTGAAAGTCCCTCGGATTCGCCAAGCCGTTTGCTCCTACGTGTTAGCCCAGCTCGTTAAATTGTTCATTAAAAAAGCATTAATTTATCGAATCTTCCCAACGAAAAAAATTTGATTGTCAACTACAGCATAGTCGTACTATGTTGTCTTTCAATAAGCTTTATCTCGAAGACGAAATGCAAACAGTTTTTCGCGAATTCGGATTAATTTTTAAACATAAGATGTATTAAAAATATATTTTTCATAAGTCTTCGAATCGACAATTAGATTACCTATCGGTCCTAATTCTGGCAACTGGAAGTGATTGTCGAAGACTTCTAAGATGTAACCTCTGCTTGGACCAAAGACAGTCATGGAGAATCGCATTCCTTGCTGAATAACGCATATTTCGTTCGGTTCGCATCGGATCTTGCCAAACTCAGTGGTAATTTGCAGAGTACCCAACTGTGGCACTGCAATTGGACTCGAAATTATATTCTTTTTTCCTTTAGGGGAAAGTCGGCATTGCTTTTTCTACCACTTACCGATGAGAAAATCGCCATCGGCATTATAAAAAGCTCTATTCTTCATGGAAGCATTGCACAAGTACACATGTATCGCAACGCCTTGGCGCATCTTGGGATCGCCGGCACCACACAAAGTGTGAAGACCCTCGATAAAATCAACTTCGGGATCTCGTCGAGTCGGGACGTCAAAAGTCTTCCATCTTAGCTAAAACGTGAACAATTAGCATTTTAGAGAAGCTATTCTTCCGATAGATTAAAGGATTCAATACAATAGAAATCTGTTCCATTTTTTTATAAACTTAAGAAGATCGAAAAAGGAAGAGATTTCATAAAAATTTAAAAAGATATGTTTATGTTAATTTTGATCTTTAGTTAGATCACTATTGCACTCAACTCTTGAATTCAAAATTAATGGAAAATTTACCTGATTGGGATTTGGATAAGTCTCGTTCCAATCGTTTTTTACATAAGATTCAGCACCATGGCTTCTAGTGAAAGATTTAAACGGGTTGTGAACGACAGAGGGTCTTATTCGATAGAGCCACGATCTTTTATTTTGACTACGTGGAACTAGAATATAAAAATAATAGCATAAAAATTATGGCAGTGATAACATCTGGCATTATATTAGGAAGAAATAAAAAAAAATATTAATCTTTGATTCTGTATTGTTATGATAAAAAAATCCAAGTCAAGAAAAAGTGATATTTATGGAATTATGAAATTGTTTGGAATGTGTATTATCTTAATACCTCTTTATGTCTCTAAATTTGATAAGAGATAAGTTAAACCTAACAGTAACTCGAGCTAACAGTAAGTTTACTTCTGAGATAAAACGAAATTTTTCTTTTACTTTACTACTATTAATTTAGACTTCAGTTGACGAATTTGTTTAAATTCAAACAATTTTGGAAGAAATTATATTTTTTTACAATGTAAACGAGTGATTAATTTTTTATTTGACAATCGTATAAGTCGGAAGCGTGAAAGAATCAAATCAAAACGTGTAATCAAAATATCAAATATTTGTTAAAATTGTAAATTACTTCTAGAATATTGAAAGAATTGAGCAAGCAAATGATTTTATCAGGGAATAGAAGAGTTACTCTTACTTTTTATAATAACATTTTGATAATGACGTTGCAAGTTTAATGACTATAAACAATAATAAATGATTTTATGACTATAATAATAACTAATTAATCGCTGAGATTGTGCTAAGGTTGGAAAAGTCATTTTGAAAAGTAACTTGCATCAATACGCATTTTCTTACTAAAAAAAATGGTTTGTAACGAGTAACGTCACTTCGTTACAAGTAGATATATAACATAACTAATAAAAGTAACTAGTTACAAATATCCAGTTAACTTTTTCAGTAACGAGTGACTTATCCAATTCGTTACACGTAATGACTTTTCAACTTTAATGTTATCGTTAGAGTCATAAAAAAATTCGGTATTGCCAAATCGTTATTATAACATAGTAACGATAAGAAAAGTACAAGTAACTAGTTTCATTCCCTGGCTTTTTACTTACCTGTAAACGCTGTGCCCGATAGTTGTTCGGCATAAAGACCATATGGACATTTCTGTGGATTATTCTGCCCGATGGGCAGTGCTCCTGGACAGCGCTCATCCTCGCTGGAGAACTCACAACCGAATCCCGTGAGATACTGAAAGATATTTCTCGATAGAACAAGCATTACCTTTTTCTCATTAACACACTCTCGCAATGTCAAGTTTCTAGATTTCAAAAATTCCCATTTTTCTATGTCAAAGTCTTCTTTCTCATTAGACAATATTTATACTTATTTAAAACGAGAAATATTATATTTATTTAAAACGAGAAATATTATACGCTCATTTAAAATGAGAAATGCTCCCTGTATTAAATTCTGAACGAAATTACACTAAAAAATTTTGTCTATTCGCAAAATCGTTTGTAAATTACTTAGACTAAGTAATTTTTCAGCAATCTCATTTTCACAATAAAAGAACAGCTTTTTTTAACACAAGCTGAACGAAAAATGTCTTCCAAAAAGAGTTACACACTGAATTTTTCCGATAAATAGGTATGTCAAAACTGAAACGATTTCACTACCTTGAGTTCGTCTTTCATGACGAGCAGCGATTTTTTTATCCGGAGACAGATCGTTTCTTAACTAGAAATACGGAGGTTTTCGTGATACTCCCCCGTTTTATATGAACAAGTCCTTAGATGACGTAATGACGATAAGAGATCGATGTTAAACAAAAACATGTTTATTCACTCTTGAACCAATCGCGCGCGACTTATTCGAGTATGCAAGGCCTCTAAAACCAGTCGAAGAGCCAGAAATACCACATTACGCTATGGAATTTATTGTCAGGTCTCTCTCGCCGAGACGAGCCCCTCGCAATGATACGAACCTCATCGTATGACATTACAGAGCTCCGTGTGAACCGTATTCAAATCAGTCTCCTACACCATCCAGGTATTTTCCGTGAGAGCGTCCGGTGAATCTTAATTATTTCGGCATTTTATGATAGCCGGTATTCTATAAAGTTTCTTGTGCATTCTAAAAAGTTACACTGTATAATAGATTTATATATCGTTCTTCTGACCAAGAATTCGTGTATGTACGACATGACGTGTCATTTAAAATTGTACGTTAAAAAGTGACAAGGGGAAATTAATCCCCTTGTCATTTTGTAACGTTCAATTTTAAATGACACGTTATGTCGTACATACACGAATTCTTAGTCAGAAGAACGATATATATCTGTTATACAGTGTAACTTTTTTACTCAATGTTATAAATGTGAATCGTTATTTTTGAGCTTCATTTTTTATCGTTTCCCATTGAGGTGAATCATTTGATTTAATATTTTTGATTAGTTTTCCTTAATGTAGAATGATAATTTGATTTAGTGGAATGTATGCTACATTTTTGGCAATCTGCAAGCGAATTGCTGTCAATGGAAGATTTTTGATTTTGTATTCGCTAAGGACTCCAAAAGGAACCGAAACGTTTGAAATAAATGTAATCTAATATAGTAATAGATATACCTAAACTAACCAGCAACACCTGAAGATTATCTGCTTTTCTTATCTCTTCGCTCTTACAACAGCGTATGACTCTCATTAGCCTTATCTGAACTCTTATTTATTAAATTACTATACAATGAAAATTCTATTTGTGACCTATCCTAATATACTTTATTTGAAGAACACTCTGGGAACGTCCTTATAACATAAAATATTTAAGATATCCCTTAAAAATCTGTGTTAGAAAATAATAATAGTCTCTTTTGACATTTCTCTCTATTGTTATACAGGATGGGACAAAAGTACCGGAACCCTAAGTATCTTGAACAATATAAGTTTTATAGAAAAGTGTTTTGAACAAAAGTTGTAGGGTTTAAAAAGATTTTTTTGAATCCTACAACCATTGTCTAACTTTTCGTTTTAAAACTCTATATTTTCCGAGATGTTAGAGGTTCCAGTATTTTTGTCTCACGCTGTATATCTGCCAATGCATCTTCGTTTTGTATTTAAAATAAAATTAAAATTATCACTCAAATAATTGATACGCACGTTTCTAATGATACTTAGTTCTTAACCGTAAAAAAGATTAATGAATTTCTTGTGTAAATCTTAACTATAGAAGCCTTTATTCAAAGGATATTAACTGTAAACTACAATAACATTTGTATACTATTGACATAAACTATAATTTCAAACAAAAAACGAAATTGATTCGGTATTACTTGACATGATTGCGGATAATTCTCGACGGTAAAAGATTTGTTTTTTTCATCAGCAAATCCTCTGTCTCATAAAACAGGAATATAATGGAAATGGTAGACGGATATTTTTTATTATCGCATCCCAGATACCATGGCAAGGTCATCTTAAATTTATAATAAACACATTGCTAGAGAATGACTATCCTCCTGATTTTATTTATGAGACTATAAATTTAAGATTAAAAGCATTAATTCACAAACAGAGACAAAAGCACAAAACAATACGACAAACTTGTCACCAGAACAAGACGTATTTCTTGGTTCCTATTACCTAGTACATTCAATCGATCTCGAATAAATTCAGGAGCATTACTAATAACTTGAATATGAAAGTAGCATTTTTCAGTTTAGACTGAGAACTTTTTTTAGGAAGACGATTGGTATCTGAGATGTTACATATACAAATGCAAAAGAATAGTCAATTTACAGTCTGACATCGAATTTTTGCATCACGTGTATATTCCTATTTTAAACAAATTATAAATAATTTATTATTACAACGATTGACTTTTATCTTATAAATAAAGCTAATGTATATATTTATCATCAACACACATTCAGATTACCGACAGTCTCAACTTTGTCGTGCGTTGATCAATATGTATTTTATTTTATTCTGACTAATGATATATTTTTACAATGTTTTTTTTTGCACAAACGCATAGACGATATTTACTTGTCTTGTAATCACTTTTCTCATCATTTAATGGTAAGCCACTTATTATACAAATTTTCATAATCTACCAAGAATATGATACAATTTTCACATTCATTTCAGAAAAATTACGATAGAGGAAATGAGAAATTATCTAAACCTGGAACAAATTGTATTACAATACCTATGTATACCAGCTACACCAGTCCCCAGTGAAAGTTTTTTCAAAAGCTGGATAAATTCTTTCAGATAGAAGAACTTGGTTGCAGACGAAGCATGTGAATATGTTTACTGTTTCGAGTGCTAATAAAGATAAAAATTAAAAATAATTTGAAAGAAAAGTTTAATTAATTTTCAGTTCTTCAAATAAGGTTAATCATATGTTCTATTAAAGTTAACTACACGTACCAAAATTGTTCGTATTTTTCCAATAAAAATAAATATTATAGTTTTATTGTTATTTAACTTTTTACATGGATATTTTTAGTTTATGATATCACAAGTACAACTATTCTTATTTTCAGTATAATAAAAATATGTAATATGAACAGTGTGTTATTCTTTAACATACTCATCTTGCGTTAAATTAACACAATAATATGAGTAGACCGTTTGAGACATGTGAAATGTATTAACAGGTTAACATAAACTTTTTCTAATCGTGTATTAAAATTATTTTTCTCAACATTGGTGATAAATCAAGTGAAACTATAAAAACATATAAATGCATAGATTTGAAATTATCGATATCTTAACGATAAATTTAAACTAATCGATAAATTATTGATAACTTATCGGTAATTGACAATAGCATACTAGATGCTCAATTTCCATCATGTTTACTGAAAATATTTGTGTATCTTTAAGGAAACTTATGAGCAAAGCAGGTGTGTACTAATCACGTGTTACACTCTGAATAGATGTTTTATTGATCACGTAACGCGATTAAAAAATTTACAAACTCTACTTGTTTGTTACATTAAATGTCGTATCAAAGTATAATATGTTTGTGTTTTACATTTATATAATCTATTTAATCATTTTATGAAATCGTAATATTATTCTTTCTCAATAATTGCATTAAACAAATAAATTACATTGACTAAACAATCTTTACAAATTTAAGTTGTAATTAATTCAAACTTTTTATACAAATAAATCTTTTTTTTTACAGTGTCATAACTGTATGCATAATTATATATAATAAAATATTACTGTCATACATATAAGATTTAAGAAACAGGGAATATATAATTAAAAAATTGGAATATTGAAAAATAGATATTTATTCTTAATTCCGTAAGTAAATAACAATGACAACCACACCAATCTTTTCATTTTATCATAACATGTGTTGTATGTGTTTTACACATTCGTAAAGATTACAATCTCAGTAATTTTCACATTTTCATTCTGAATAGCAATGCTGTAGTTCAACAGGAATTCGTTTCGCTTCTCGTCGAAATTGAACGTCTTGGATCCTGCGAAACGCGCCACAGCATGGCGCGCATTTATGATGTACATACGCTCATCAAAGGATTCTTATCCAATCATTTTCACTTTGACGGCTACTTATCGGTTATCGCGGGAAGTTTATTGACCGCGAGAAAGTTTTGCGTCACGCCGAACGCGTACTCCTCCTCGCACCTTTGGCGTAATTATGCGCGAGTTTTCATCAATCATGATTGCAACGAAGACGTCTGTTGCGCCGCAATCCAGATGAAGCAGCGTTAAGAGAATAATTTTTAATTTTAGATTGTTAACAGCTGTTATTGCCAATTCTGTAATACTTCCTTATAATTATTTGATAATACCTTACAATATTTATTATAAAATTTATAAATAACATTTATATATCTGTATCTGTACGACGTTACATTATGTTATGATTCCTAGTATAAAGCAAATTTGATTTACGTCTAAGATGATCATAATAATGTATATAGCAATAATTCGTTATTATACGTATAATTGTATTTGCGTTATTTGACGATATTCGAGCTTCAGATTTAAGCTCGCTCACGCAAAGCGATTGCAATGCAGAAAATAACACCGTAATAAGGCATTTGTCATAATTGCGCTCCATATTCTCGAACTTTCACCATGCGGAGAATCAGTCATTTACTGATGGCATATAATAACAAGTCAATCGCGTTCACTTAGGAAAGCCTTTAATTTCTTGCATAGGATCGAATTATAGGAATGTTTTTATGTGTTGATATTATAAACGAGTGAATGGAAACCTATGCTAATTAAAATGCGCATTAAAATTAAGATCATGCGTTGTTTTCGCGAGAGACGCGACATGTGGTTACAGAAAAAAAGAAATCTAATTCCAGTTTTCGTTGCAAATACAAACAGCTTTATGATTCACGATTGCATTGCGAATAAATCAACTAAAGCGACAGAGCATAACACAATCTCAGATCATGGTAGAGCAAATAGAACAATTCACGGAAGTACAATACTGTGGGGCAGTAGGACATTCCTTTCGTCATAGAGATATTCTATTTTCTCGCACGAGAGAATAGATAAACCGTCAATAAAAAAAAATTTTTTCACATATCTCATTAACAAATTTCACGTTATATTTATTTACTAATTATGATACTTTATTACATGACATATAATTATATACTATTACATGATATTAATACGTGATGCTTATATAATGCTTACAATTAGACATTTCAAATTCATTGCTGCTAATTTATAGCACAATAAATGTTT